AATGTACAGTACATAGTATACCATATATATTGTAGTGTAGTATAGATAGTGTATTATGTGTAATGTACAGTACATAGTGTACCATGTGTATTGTAGTGTAGTGTAGATAGTGTATTATGTGTAATGTACAGTACATAGTGTGCCATGTGTACTGTAGTATACCATGTATAGTGTAGATAGTGTATTATGTGTAATGTACAGTACATAGTGTACCATGTGTACTGTAGTATACCATGTATAGTGTAGATAGTATATTATGTGTAATGTACAGCACATAGTGTACCATGTATAGTGTAGATAGTGTATTATGTGTAATGTACAGTACATAGTGTATCATGTGTACTGTAGTATACCATGTATAGTGTAGATAGTGCATTATGTGTAATGTACAGCACATAGTGTATCATGTATAGTGTAGATAGTGTATTATGTGTAATGTACAGTACATAGTGTATCATGTGTAGTGTAGATAGTGTATTATGTGTAATGTACAGTACATAGTGTACCAAATATAGTGTAGATAGTGTATTATGTGTAATGTACAGTACATAGTGTACCATGTATAGTGTAGATAGTGTATTATGTGTAATGTACATCACATAGTGTATCATGTGTAGTGTAGTGTAGTGCAGTGTAGATAGTGTATTATGTGTATTGTACAGTCATAGTGTACCATGTATAGTGTAGATAGTGTAGTGTATTATGTGTAATGTACAGTACATAGTATACCATGTGTATTGTAGTGTAGTGTAGATAGTGTATTATGTGTAATGTAGATAGTGTATAATGTGTAATGTACAGTACATAGTATACCATATATATTGTAGTGTAGTATAGATGGTGTATTATGTGAAAGGTAGATAGTGTATAATGTGTAATGTACAGTACATAGTATACCATATATATTGTAGTGTAGTGTAGATAGTGTATTATGTGTAATGTACAGTACATAGTGTACCATGTGTACTCTAGTATACCATGTATAGTGTAGATAGTGTATTATGTGTAATGTACAGCACATAGTGTACCATGCATAGTGTAGATAGTGTATTATGTGTAATGTACAGCACACAGTGTACCATGTATAGTGCAGATAGTGTATTATGTGTAATGTACAGTACATAGTGTATCATGTGTAGTGTAGATAGTGTATTATGTGTATTGTACAGTACATAGTGTACCATGTATAGTGTAGATAGTGTATTATGTGTAATGTACAGTACATAGTGTACCATGCATAGTGTAGATAGTGTATTATGTGTATTGTACAGTACATAGTGTACCATGTATAGTGTAGATAGTGTATTATGTGTAATATACAGCACATAGTGAATCATGTGTAGTGTAGTGTAGCATAGTGTAGCGTAGATAGTGTATTATGTGTATTGTACAGTACATAGTGTACTATGTATAGTGTAGATAGTGTATTATGTGTATTGTACAGTACATAGTGTACCATGTGTAGTGTAGTATACCATGTATAGTGTAGATAGTTGTATTATGTGTAATGTACAGTACACACTGTGTACTGTACATTACACATAATACACTATCTGCACTACACTACACTACACTACACTATACATTGTACACTATGTACTGTACAATACATATAATACACTATCTGCACTACACTACACTACACTACACATGGTACACTATGTACTGTACAATTCACATAATACACTGTCTACACTACACTACAGTACACATGGTACACTATGTACTGCACATTACACATAATACACTATATATACTACACTACACTACATTACACTACACATGGTACACTATGTACTGTACAATACACATAAGACACTGTCTACACTACACTACACTACACTACACAAACTAAAGCCTAATAAGTCACCTGGTCCCAATGAGATATTTGCCAGAGTATTAAAGGAATGTAAGGAAGAGCTTAGTATGCCCTTAGCAAAGTTGTTTAACATGTCCTTAAAAACAGGTGTAGTACCAGAATCCTGGAGGATAGCGAATGTAATACTGATTTTCAAAAGGGGGGATAGATCACTATCCTCTAACTACCGTCCAATCAGCTTAACATCAATTGTAGGCAAATTACTGGAAGCAATCATTTCAAACTCTATTCGAAATCACCTGTTGATCAATGATTCCCAACATGACTTCACAAGTGGGCGTTCATGTCTAACTATTCTATTAACATTCTTTTCAATTTTTTTTTAATCAGTGGACGAGGGGCACGACTATGATGTGGTATATCTCGACTTAAGCAAAGCCTTCGACAGAGTCCCCCACGAAAGACTGATAAGAAAAGTGGAGGCTCATGGCATTGGAGGAGATATTCTAAAATGGATTAGTGCGTGGTTACAGGACAGGAAACAGTGAGTGAGCATTAACGGCACTAAATCTGTTTGGAGTAACGTCACTAGTGGAGTACCCCAAGGCTCAGGACTTGGACCATTATTGTTTATTACTAGCAGAATCGCCGCCCCCCGGGGGGCTCATCCGCTCGGCCACGGTAGGACGCCACCCTCCGGGAGGCTCCACATTGTCTCACTGTTCAGTCCCTAAAACTTTTTCTTCCATCAATAGTTTATTAACGGTGTATGTAAGTTCCACCATGTTTTTCACTACAATGGTACAGCAAAGTATATTTTTTTAGCATTAAACTGTTATTATTTTATTGACTAATCATCACTACATATAAGACCACCCATCATCACTACATATAACATCATCCATCATCACTACATATAACACCACCCATCATCACTACATATAACACCATCCATCATCACTACATATAAGACCACCCATCATCACTACATATAACATCATCCATCATCAATACATATAATACCATCCATCATCACTACATATAACACCACCCATCATCACTACATATAACATCATTCATCATCACTACATATAACACCACCCATCATCACTACATATAACACCATCCATCATCACTACATCTAACATCATCCATCATCACTACATATAACACCACCCATCATATAACACCACCCATCATCACTACATATAACACCATCCCATCATCACTACATATAACATCATCCGTCATCACTACATATAACACCACCCATCATCACTACATATAACATCATCCATCATCACTACATATAACACCATCCATCATCACTACATATAACATCATCCATCATCACTACATATAACACCACCCATCATCACTACATATAACACCATCCATCATCACTACATATAACACCACCCATCATCACTACATATAACACCATCCATCATCGCTACATATAACATCATTCATCATCACTACATATAACACCACCCATCATCACTACATATAACACCATCCATCATCACTACATCTAACATCATCCATCATCAATACATATAATACCATCCATCATCACTACATATAACACCACCCATCATCACTACATATAACATCATCCATCATCACTACATATAACACCATCCATCATCACTACATATAACATCATCCATCATCACTACATATAACACCACCCATCATCACTACATATAACACCATCCATCATCACTACATATAACACCACCCATCATCATCACGTGGGCATGGAACGTGAGAAGCCGGCTGGGACGTCAGAGGTGTTTCATGGCGCCACTGGAAAACTGATGCCTGATTGTTTGTAGATTCCCGCCAAAAAGTGATGTGGTGACCATAGTAACTGGACAGGTGGAGAAGCAGGTTTGACGTGGCTGAGGAAAGTGGAAACAGTGAAAGGAGTTCAACACATGACAAAGACATAAGCTTGAGTATACATTATAGTGTTGAGTGTGTGAGTCAAGGAAAGTGGAGGAAGAATAGGATAGAATATTTTCTGTGTATAGGATGTAAAGTTGTGTGTGGGATATAACGTTGTGTATTTTGTATTTTCGTAACATTATACTGGTAAAAGAACGGTGACGTTATAAAATCTTGTTTGTATTAACATAAAAAAAAACATAAGAAAATAAGGAGTGTGCAATAGGCAGGTTGGCCTGTGCATGGCAGCTCCTGTCGAGAGTTACTACCACTCTCTATCATCCATGAATCTATCTAGCCTCCTTTTAAAACTTTCCAGCGTTCCAGCACTTCCTACAAAGTTGCTAAGCTTGTTCCACTCGTCTACCACCCTATTTGTGAGCCAGTTCCTACCTATCTCTCTCCTAAGCCTAAACTTATCCAACTTAAATCCGTTGCTTCGAGTCCTATCCTGCTCGGATATTATAAGAACTTTATCTATATCACCTTTATTGATTTCTTTCACCCACTTAAATACTTCTATCATATCTCCCCGCACTCTTCGTCGTTCTAGGGAATGCAAGTTTAGTTTCTTTAACCTATCTTGATATGGAAGGTTTCTAAGCCCCGGAATCATTTTCATCATTCTTCGCTGCACCGACTCCAGCGAATTGATATCCATTCTATAAGGGCACCAAAACTGAACAGCATATTCGAGGAGCGGCCTGACTAGCGCAAAACGTAACGTCACAGTAGTTATAAGGATGGGCTGGTGTAGTAACCTTGTGCCTCGCCCAGCACAGTGTGTGAGCCGTTAGTGAAGAATAACTTTAAATTTTTCAATAAAAATTATTTGGTTCAGTTTTGAAATGTCTCTCTTTATATTTTTTTAGTGTTTCTTTCATTTCAAGAAATTCTTCAGTTGACAGTCCGGGCTAGGGGGCAGGAACAGGCAATTGGACGGGTTTATCCTGCCCCTGCACCTCCTTCACACTAGAGTGGTCAAATGCATCACTCCCCGACCTACTACAAGTATTATCTGATGCGTTATTAATATATTCTATGGCCCGGGATTGTGTGCGAGGCTGAACGGGGGAGGGGGCATCGAGGAAAGTTGGGACAAACTGGGATGAGCTCAACCCATGTGACCTGCTCAAATACGGCTCCTGGATTTTTTTCACAGGTTTGAGTGAGGGCTGAGTGGCTTAAGAGTTTTGTGCCCCGGTCTAGGACTGTGAATGGAATTTTTTCACAGGTTTGGGTGAGGGCTGGGTGGCTTAAGAGTTTTGTGCCCCGGTCTAGGACTGTGAATGGAATTTTTCCACAGGTTTGAGTGAGTGCTGGGTGGCTTAACATTTGTGGGCCCCGGTCCAGGACTGTGAATGGAATTTTTCCATAGGTTTGAGTGAGGGCTGGGTGGCTTAAGAGTTTTGTGCCCCGGTCCAGGACTGTGGATGGAATTTTTCCACAGGTTTGGGTGAGGGCTGGGTGGCTTAACATTTGTGGGCCCCGGTCCAGGACTGTGGATGGAATTTTCCCAGGTTTGGGTGAGGGCTGGGTGGCTTAACATTTGTGGGCCCCGGTCCAGGACTGTGGATGGAATTTTTCCACAGGTTTGGGTGAGGGCTGGGTGGCTTAACATTTGTGGGCCCCGGTCCAGGACTGTGGATGGAATTTTTCCACAGGTTTGGGTGAGGGCTGGGTGGCATTTGTGGGCTCCGGTCCAGGACTGTGGATGGAATTTTCCACAGGTTTGGGTGAGGCTGGGTGGCAACATTTGTGGGCCCCGGTCCAGGACTGTGGATGGAATTTTTCCACAGGTTTGAGTGAGGGCTGGGTGGCTTAACATTTGTGGGCCCCGGTCTAGGACTGTGCCTGGGTGTTGTCTGTATTGAAATTTCGTTCACTATTGTACAATTTTTCCAGATAATTTTTCAATATTTGGGCCAAGAATTATAATAGGGCTGCAATGCCTATGGTCAAAATCAAGATTTAAAAAAAAAAATTAAGGTCATCCACTTTTGCCTGTAACTCTTCTATTGTGGCTATAATTTCTTTTCTGAGTCGTACTTCGTTGTCCCAGAATATAAAATACACAATACTAAAAATTATGGCAAAAGAACCAATCACTATTTTGCAGTTCATAATTTTTTATATAGTAAAAATAACAGCGACTTTTGACTGTCTTGCTACAAAATGTGTGGGTCAGTATGTTAGTTAGGTTGGATACCGATCCACCTACAGTAGCTTTATGTAGTTCATTGAGTGTAGTGTAGACAGTGTATAGAGCATACGGTATAATGCATTGTGTGTAGTGTAGATAGTGTATTATGTGTAATGTAGATAGTGTATAATGTGTAATGTACAGTACATAGTATACCATGTGTATTGTAGTGTAGTGTAGATAGTGTATTATGTGTAATGTACAGTACATAGTATACCATGTGTATTGTAGTGTAGTGTAGATAGTGTATTATGTGTAATGTACAGTACATAGTGTACCATGTGTACTGTAGTATACCATGTATAGTATAGATAGTGTATTATGTGTAATGTACAGTACATAGTATACCATGTGTATTGTAGTATACCATGTATAGTGTAGATAGTGTATTATGTGTAATGTACAGTACATAGTGTACCACGTGTACTGTAGTATACCATGTATAGTGTAGATAGTGTATTATGTGTAATGTACAGTACATAGTGTACCATGTGTACTGTAGTATACCATGTATAGTGTAGATAGTGTATTATGTGTAATGTACAGCACATAGTGTACCATGTGTACTGTAGTATACCATGTATAGTGTAGATAGTGTATTATGTGTAATGTACAGCACATAGTGTACCATGTATAGTGTAGATAGTGTATTATGTGTAATGTACAGTACATAGTGTATCATGTGTACTGTAGTATACCATGTATAGTGTAGATAGTGTATTATGTGTAATGTACAGTACATAGTGTACCATGCATAGTGTAGATAGTGTATTATGTGTAATGTACAGTACATAGTGTACCATGTGTAGTGTAGATAGTGTATTATGTAATGTACAGCACATAGTGTATCATGTGTAGTGTAGATAGTGTATTATGTGTAATGTACAGTCATAGTATATCATGCATAGTGTAGATAGTGTATTATGTGTAATGTACAGTACATAGTGTACCATGTGTAGTGTAGATAGTGTATTATGTGTAATGTACAGCACATAGTGTATCATGTGTAGTGTAGATAGTGTATTATGTGTAATGTACAGTACATAGTGTATCATGTGCACTGTAGTATACCATGTATAGTGTAGATAGTGTATTATGTGTAATGTACAGCACATAGTGTACCATGTATAGTGCAGATAGTGTATTATGTGTAATGTACAGTACATAGTGTATCATGTGTAGTGTAGATAGTGTATTATGTGTAATGTACAGTACATAGTGTACCATGTATAGTGTAGATAGTGTATTATGTGTATTGTACAGTACATAGTGTACCATGTATAGTGTAGATAGTGTATTATGTGTATTGTACAGTACATAGTGTACCATGTATAGTGTAGATAGTGTATTATGTATTGTACAGTACATAGTGTACCATGTATAGTGTAGATAGTGTATTATGTGTAATATACAGCACATAGTGAATCATGTGTAGTGTAGTGTAGCATAGTGTAGCGTAGATAGTGTATTATGTGTATTGTACAGTACATAGTGTACTATGTATAGTGTAGATAGTGTATTATGTGTATTGTACAGTACATAGTGTACCATGTGTAGTGTAGTATACCATGTATAGTGTAGATAGTTGTATTATGTGTAATGTACAGTCACACACTGTGTACTGTACATTACCTTTCTATCTACACTACACTACTACACTATACATTGTACACTATGTACTGTACAATACATATAATACACCTCTACACTACTACACTACACATGGTACACTATGTACTGTACAATTCTATAATACACTATTCACTACAGTACACATGGTACACTATGTACTGCACAATACACATAATACACTATATATACTACACTACACTACACACTACACATGGTACTATGTACTGTACAATACACATAAGACACTGTCTACTACACTACCACACACAAACTAAAAGCCTAATAAGTCACCCGGTCCCAATGAGATATTTGCCAGAGTATTAAAGGAATGTAAGGGAAAGGCTTAGTATGCCATTAGCAAAGTTGTTTAACATGTCCTTAATAGGTGTAGTACCAGAATCCTGGAGGATAGCGAATGTAATACTGATTTTCAAAGGGGGATAGATCACTATCCTCTAACTACCGTAATCAGCTTAACATCAATTGTAGGCAAATTACTGGAAGCAATCATTTCAAACTCTATTCGAAATCACCTGTTGATCAATGATTCCCAACATGACTTCACAAGTGGGCGTTCATGTCCAACTATTCTATTAACATTCTTTTCAATTTTTTTTAATCAGTGGACGAGGGCACGACTATGATGTGGTATATCTCGACTTAAGCAAAGCCTTCGACAGAGTCCCCACGAAAGACTGATAAGAAAAGTGGAGGCTCATGGCATTGGAGGAGATATTCTAAAATGGATTAGTGCGTGGTTACAGGACAGGAAACAGTGAGTGAGCATTAACGGCACTAAATCTGTTTGAGTAACGTCACTAGTGGAGTACCCAAGGCTCAGGACTTGGACCATTATTGTTTATTACTAGCAGAATCCCCACTTCGGAAATTCCATCCGCTCGGCCACGGTAGGACGCCACCCTCCGGGAGGCTCCACATTGTCTCACTGTTCAGTCCTAAAACTTTTTCTTCCATCAATAGTTTATTAACGGTGTATGTAAGTTCCACCATGTTTTTCACTACAATGGTACAGCAAAAGTATATTTTTAGCATTAAACTGTTATTATTTTATTGACTAATCATCACTACATATAAGACCACCCATCATCACTACATATAACATCATCCATCATCACTACATATAACACCACCCATCATCACTACATATAACACCATCCATCATCACTACATATAAGACCACCCATCATCACTACATATAACATCATCCATCATCAATACATATAATACCATCCATCATCACTACATATAACACCACCCATCATCACTACATATAACATCATTCATCATCACTACATATAACACCACCCATCATCACTACATATAACACCATCCATCATCACTACATCTAACATCATCCATCATCACTACATATAACACCACCCATCATCACTACATATAACACCACCCATCATCACTACATATAACATCATCCGTCATCACTACATATAACACCACCCATCATCACTACATATAACATCATCCATCATCACTACATATAACACCACCCATCATCACTACATATAACATCATCCATCATCACTACATATACACCATCCATCATCACTACATATAATATCCATCATCATACATATAACACCACCCATCATCACTACATATAACACCATCCATCATCACTACATATAACACCACCATCATCACTACATATAACACCATCCATCATCGCTACATATAACATCATTCATCATCACTACATATAACACCACCCATCATCACTACATATAACACCATCCATCATCACTACATCTAACATCATCCATCATCAATACATATAATACCATCCATCATCACTACATATAACACCACCCATCATCACTACATATAACATCATCCATCATCACTACATAACACCATCCATCATCACTACATATAACATCATCCATCATCACTACATATAACACCACCATCATCACTACATATAACACCATCCATCATCACTACATATAACACCACCCATCATCAT